TGGATATGATGAAGAAAACATAGCCAACCCGTGGAACTCGTCACCACCGACGCAGTCCCGGTATTTTGGCGATATCTCCTTCGTTACTTAACGGAATCACGAACCGTTTGTTGGGTTGGATTCGTAACATCCGGGGCTACGATTTTGGTATAATAAATAATTCGAGAAAATGAATAGAGAATTTCAGAATTTACGAAGAAGTTGCTGCTGCGTTTTTCACTCAGGATTTTAGAAAACTTTGATATTTCTTCTTGCTCCTTCTTCTTCCCTTGGCTCAACAATGGAGTTGAGAATTCTTCCTCCTGAGTTTCTGCCGAGAGAGGGAGAGGATGGTGATGGGATGAATGATGGATGGATGATGGTGGTAATGTGTGAGGATGATGGTGGTGGTGGTAGGGTAATAATATAGGGAAGAGTAATTGGAGGGATGTGGTGGTGGGGTCCTAATGTGGTTTGATTGAGGATTGGAAGAGATGGGGGGAGTGTCTCTACGTGATTTGGAGGGTTTGGGGAATCAAATATATTCTCCTACTCCGTAACTGATAAACTGGCTAAAACGGTACGCGCTTTTTCGCCCAAACTGTTCCGTTTTGAAAACGGGTCGCGTTTTTGGAATCAGATTGTCAAAACTAGAATTTTGATATAATTAAAATATTTTTCTGGAAACTTTTATTTTTCAGTGTTCGGGTCTGCCTCAGTCATTAACTAATTAATAAATTAATAAATTCTTTTAGGCCTAATTTCAGGGCGTTACATGCCCATTAAAAAATGGATGCCTAGATGAATTAAGTCACCACATATGTCTCAGGACGCGGATACCTTGTTCATGAAGAAATGGTAGATTAGAGGTCCGTGCAACAATGTGACTGGTCAATAGATTCCAAAGTAAAAATGTGATTGGTCTATCTCTGAAAAGTATTACCGGTCTGTAACACCCTCCATCCCGCAAACCTGGTTCGCCGCGGCCAAACGAGCCGGAGGGGTTACGTAGACGGGTTTTTAAGACCGTCTACAGGAAACTCCTTAAATTACTTTTGCAACCGGAAAAACTTTGATATAATTAATAAAACTATTTGGGAATTAGTTCCCTTAAAAATGATTCATGGCGGAAGCAATAACGAAAATAAACGTTAAGTCTTAAACGAAGTAAATGCAACAACGGTGGGTTCAAGCCCAAAACAGTTTATAAAACTAAACAAAAAATAAGCTTGGTCCACGGCGTCACCTATACGCCGCCCCGATCTCCCAATTATCCAGGTCAGGCTCCATGATCATCTCGCTTACCTGCGTATAGCAAAAACAATGTTATACACTCAGCATAAGCTGAGTGGTAATCTAATAGTAGAACGCATAGTACAATTCATATTGATATAAACATAATCGTACCTGTACTAAAGTACGAGATACCACATACAATTTTGATAAATAAGAGTTGCAATAAAAGAATAATACAATGCAAAATAATCCACGATGTATGAGTTAGACTGCGCAGGGATCCCCCTGCCTTTCAGTGATCATCCACACGCGGTGATGAGCGAGGAACGCCATAGTCTCCGAAAGAAGCCTAGAAACTATGGGTGGTAATTGAATGCCTAGTTACCATGTATGTACAGAAGCCCTCCTGGTGAAACCCGTTGGATCCTGAAGGCTCTTAGACAGGCACGCAGAAGAGGCGCACTAGGCCTAACCTCTTGTTGCGGTATGCAAAGTATGCCATAATCCTAAAACATGCGTCTTAGATATACATGATGATATGAATGCATTGCTTGAAAGAAGATTGAGTTCAACGCATACATATAGGTTTGATTCCGTGTGAATATGATTTGTTTCTCAACATGATGGCCCTGGGTTCAAAACTGGCTAATAATCGATTATTCATTGATGATAATCGATTATCAGGCGTGGCAGTTCCTATCCCAAGGTTCTACAGCCTCTGATAGTTGATTGTCACCTTGGGAGAATTGATTGTAAAATTGGTCTGTCCAGGAACCCAAGTTCAGAGAGGCCTGATAATCGATTATTGCTCTATGATAATCGATTATCAAGTGGAACCAACTCGGACTCAGGAATCCGCAGGGTTTGATAATCGATTATCACTTATGTGCTAATCGATTGTCACACTTTGCTGATCTAAACGAGAAGTCCATCGTGGCCTGCTAATACATTGTCATGTCCTGTTAAATGATTATTAGAGGACGCGAGTTCCCATTTTGTCCATCTAATTTTAATCAAAATGTAGGAAGTTTGAAATAAATGTTTATGTTTTTACGTGAAGAAGTTTATGAATTTAAGGGGTTTCAAAATGATCACATTAACGAGTTCGTAACCGAAATGTTCTTAGTAACGGAAAAGCCATGATAATGCAGACACACGTAGGTTTAGCTGGGTAATCCTATGAATATAACGATATGAATGAACTATGAATTCTAAAGTTAGAGGGCAACGTACTCACCTCTAAACGCAGGGGTTGACGGAAAGTAACGGGATGAACGAACGTACGACAAACGAACGGACGAAACACGAACGACGAGCGACCTCACGCACAACGGACGAACCTCCATCCTTTCTTCCTTTTCCTTGTCTACACGCCGGAGTGCCTCCCTTGCCTAGCTGCTGGCCAAATCACAAGAGAAGGGGGGAGGAGGAGAGTTGTGAGGATTGTTTTGGATAGTGGGAGTTACAAGAATGATGAGGAAAATAAAGGGAGAAAGGGGCTTATAATGAAAGGGAATAATGGAGAAATAATGATGGGAGGAAATGGGATGAAGGTGGCATGTGATTTTAATTGGGGAGTTACCTCCCTTGCCTAGCTGCTGACCTGAACGGTATGCGTTTTTCCCCCAAACGGGTCCAAATAAAGATTCATTTACGTTTCTAGAATCAGACAGTCAAGACAAATATTAGTGTGATTAAATATATTTTCTGAAGACTTTATTTTTCCGAACCCAAGTCCGAGTTAGTAATTAATTCATTAAATTAATCAATTCTAATAGACCGGGTCGCAGGGCGTTACAATTATCCACCCCTTAAAAAAATTTCATCCTCGAAATTTACCTAGTCATTGGTCACAGCAGAGATGTGGGTAACGCGTGCGCTTGGATTCTTCGGTTTCCCAAGTCCCCTCCTCGACGGAGTGACTTCTCCAAAGAGCTCTGACTAACGGGATGGTTTTGGATCTCACAAGCTAGAATCTCAACCGGCTCCTCCTCGTATGTGAGATTTTTATCGAGGGTAACGGTATCTAATGGAATCACGTGAGAGGGTTCTGTCCGATATCTTCAGAGCATAGACACGTGAAATACGTTGTGAATCTTGCTCAGCTCAGGTGGTAGCTCAATCCGATAGGTAGGGAAACTCTTCCCTTGCACGACTAACGGCAATTAGTTACAACCACAAAGCCTATAACCAGAGTGATGGATATGATTCGAATAAGATGATGTAGTTGCCGTAGTATTAATTCTTTGAGTTGTCTTGTCGTCTTGTAAGTGTTGTAGACAATGGGGCATTACTGCGAGGTTGAATGTGAGCTTGTCGATATTCCCTACTCGGGTTGTTCTAACGTTTCCGGTGGGTTTCTCAAAGTCGTACTTACTTCATTGATGAAGTTTTTTTAAAGACATAATGAATTAAGTAGTTCTCTATTGAGTTTATTCAAGAAGATTTGTTCAAAGAAGTTTGGAAAAGGGTTCTATATTGTTCACAACCTTGACTGCGCCACAGTTACCAAGTAATCCCTTTAGTCTTGTCGAGCTAAGTCCACTGGAGGAGCTTCCACACCTCCATCGCAGATACTATTGACAGAGTCCACACTGAATATTTCCTCTGGTGGTCCCAAAGTGGTGAGATACAAAGTCTAGAGGGGGGGTGAATAGACTTTGTTACAAATTTAAAACTTTTTCGTTTCTTTTGAAAACGTGAAAATGAGTGTTAATCTAGAGTTCTTTTGAACTTTAGATTGTGTGCGGAATTTGGTGGGTAGAGTGAGCAGTAATCAATATGGATGGGTTAGTTTTCACAGTTAATATAATTGCAAGTAAGAATAAAGATAAATGAGAGAGACACGCAAACTTTAACGAGGTTCGAAGGTGGGGTAATCCTCTTACGTCCTCAAAATCCACTATGTAGTTGGTTGTTGAATAATGAACCAACAATTACACTTGTGTGAATTTCTGCACGGTATATCTTCACAAGACCAATGTTGCTACTGCACTCGTGCTGGCTTTGTTGTTCCTTCGAAGGTCAAGCCTCTTCAACAACTGCAAGGTCCGAACAATAGGACTTGCAAGATCAACTTGTAAGAGAGTTGACCTACCCCCTTTTAATCAATAAGTTTGATCAAAAGTAATATCCTTCAACGTGGTGTGGTGCTTGAGGCAAGGAAACCTTCAAGTGTTTACACTATAGCTCTTTGGAAGGGGGAAAAGTTTGCTTCTGGATAAGGAGTTTAGAAATCTCTCTTTATCAAGCTTTTTGGGCTAACTGTGAATGAGATAGCCTTAGAGATTGCTTCGTTGTGTTGTTGTATCTCTTTTTTTTCTCCAGTCTTCCAAGGATTCTATTTATAGCTGGATTGGATAATCTATTCGTTGAATCATAATAGAGTATCCGTTGCATTTGCTGGCTTCAATTTTGAATGAAGATTGTGATTTGAAGATTCCTCATTGGAATGGGTGTTTGGACATACCCATTTGTTAAAGGAGATATTCCTTTTTCCATAGAGTCCGTCTTCTAGCTGTTGTTCAAGTATTCTGGACTGTAGAACTTTACTCTGTTTGTCTTCTAGTGCTTGTTTAGGAATTCTGGACAGGTTCTTCAATTCTTAGAGGTTCAGACTTTGTCTTCGAGTCATTTGTTCTTGAATCAGCATAATTATCTACAATCTAGCCGTTGAAAATCAAGAGATTGATTTTTCCTTACCAACGGGTAGAATTTCTTCATTCAAGACTTAGATAATTTTCTAAGTCTTTTCTCACTTGTCCGCTTTTTGAGAATTCCGGTCTTCCCTGAGGCATTGAATATTGGGGGAGACCTAAAGTCCCTATTACATTCTAAATACATCATCATCAAAATCTATGATATTTTTCCCAACAATTTCCCCCTTTTTGATGATGACAAACAAGTGTTTAAGAGTTCCGGTCGCTGTACTGAGAACTAATTTTGTAACTTTCTTTTAGTTTCTAATAACATACAGCTTGTTAACAAAAACTCTTAAACAAATACAATTCAAATTACAATAATTCCTAAACCAAGTCTTGTCTTGAGATTTTGTGATCTCTTCCGCCATTGACCGTTTTCTGCTTCAGCAGATTCTACTTGGCAGAGCGGTTGGCGTTGCGTTTGATAGATCTTTAATATCCAAAGTGGATATTTAAGATCTTGGAAGCAACACATCTCTCAAAATAAGAAGAAAGATAGAGAGAGTGTTGTTCCAGAGAAGGTGTATGGTCTAATACAGAAAAATACGAGATTTCCACCATAGACCTTCTCTACTGCCGAGATTCTCACCATAGACCTTGAAAGTCTTTTCTTCTCAATAGGCTTCTTCCATTGCCGTCTATGAGGGTGAGAAAGAAAAATTTCTCCATTGAGGATATTTTTCTTGGTGTGTTTCTTAGACAGTGAGTTTGAGGACTTTTCATATTGAGAGAGTTGTTTGTGATGGAAATGGATTGGAGTGTCTTGATTTAAATAGGGGAGGAGAAGGTTCACGGGTTCCATTAAGTGAGTAGGTGGAATGGTGAGAGTAAAAGAGTTTCAACTTCCAAGAAGTTGAAAAGTGGAAGGAATCTTTTACCAATTACCAATGAATTGAAACCGTTCCAATTTGAAAATCAGTTTCGTTTGGTTTGAGAATCACAACTGTTTTAGTTTTGCTAAGCCTAAAAGAGTGGTCCAAAAAGAAAAGAAAGCTATGTATTAAAGGGAAATTATTCCTATTGGGTTCTCAAGGCCCAAAATAAAACTATCATTTTTCATTCCCTATAGTTCTAATTTCTACTTAGGACGAGGTAGTACCAAAACAAATATGAATATTATTTTTAAAAGAAAAGTAGTACTATTTTTCCAAAGTCCTGTACATTTTAAAAATCCTAGGGACCAGTACTTTTAGAGCTTGTTGGAAATGAATTAAGGACTGAAGCTTTGTTTAAGAAGGCAGATTTTGTAAAGTACCTGAATCGGAGATTTCCAATTTTAGTACCAAAACTGAGATATCCGACTTCCATTGCTTAGAGCTTATCAATAATTCATAGCCAAAACAATTATTAGCCAAAACTAGTTAAGTTCCCCCTGAATGTATGCGCTTCAAAAAAAAAATTCTCAGAATCATACTTGAGATAAGCATAATCAAGCATAATAAGCATAATTAAGAAAATTGTTGAAGCAATATTGCAATGTTTAAACCAATCAAGCAATGTTTAAACAAGAAGGTGTTTGCATCAAAACACATTAGTGTTTTCACATACTTTCCCCCTGTTTTGATGAAAAGAACCTTCAGTTTCTCTTGCGCTTTGAAGATCCGGCAACCTCACTGATGCCCTTCATGTTCCCACACAGTTCTTTGATGCGCCTTAAATTTTCACGTCTCTCTTCTGATTGAGCATCATTTGAGAAGTGGTCAACAATTGTACCTATAAATTCTATTCCATCCAGTCCTGAGCCGTGCTTCAAGGATTAGATTTGTCATGTTCAGATGAGAAGGAATATAGGATACTTCTCCTTCTTTGACTAAAATAGGGAGCTGTGGTATTGGAGATGGACTGTGTTGTTGGAGAATTACTTCCATCTTGCGGTTTCCAGAATTTGCGCCAATAAGTCTGAACAGCTTGTATGCTTCCTTTTGATTGTCAATGATCACCTTCAAGTAGTCTTTGGTCACTACCTGATTTGCAGAAGCTACTGCTAGGGCTGATCTGATGTCCATTTGGAGAAGGGACATCTGTTTTTGGAGACTAACTGTGACACTCGCTATTTGCTCTTTGACTTTGTTGATCTCTTTGAGTTGAAGTTGACTGTCAGAGGCATATATTTCCATCGTGTTGCTCACAGTTTCACTCAATAGAGAGATAATCTCCAGAGTCTTGTGCACTGATTTGCTTATTTCTTTGAGATCTGCGCTGTGTTTTCCTT